ACAATATTAATTCTTCCTATCCTTGAACATGTCATGTATTTCCATTTATTGATGTCTTCTTAAATTTCTTTCATGAGTTTCTTGTATTTTTCAGGGTATAGGTCTTTCACTTCCTTGGTTAGGTTTATTCCTAGGTATTTTATTCTTTTCAATTTAATTGTAAGTGGAGTTGTTATCCTGATTTTTCTTTCTGCTAGTTCATCATTAGTATATGGGAATGCGACAGAATTCTGTGTGTTGATTTTGTATCCTGCAACTTTGCTGAATTCAGTTATTAGTTCTGGTAGTTTTGGGGTGGATTCTTTAGGGTTTTTTATGTACAATATCATGTCATCTGAAAACAGTGACAATTTAACTTCTTCCTACCAATCTGGATGCCTTTTATTTCTTTGTGCTGTTTGATTGCTGTTGCTAGGACCTCCAGTACTATGCTAAATAAAAGTGGTGAGAGTGGGCATCCTTGTTTTGTTCTTGATCTTAGAGGAAAAGCTTTCAGCCTTTTGCCATTAAATATAATGTTGGCTGTGGGTTTGTCATACATGGCCTTTATTATGTTGAGGTACTTGCCCTCTATAACCATATTTTTGAGTTTTTATCATGAATGGATATTGAATTTTGTCAAATGCTTTTTCAGCATCTATGGAGATGATAATGTGATTTTTGTCTTTTTTGTTGATGTGGTGTATGATGTTGATTAACTTTCAAATTTTGTACTATCCTTGCATCCCTGGAATAAATCCCATTTGATCATGATGGATGATCTTTTTGATATAGTTCTGAATTTGGTTTGCTAATATTTTGTTGAGTATTTTTGCATCCATGTTCATCAGCGTTATTGGTCTGTAATTTTTTTTGTGGTGTCTTTGCCTGGTTATGGTATTAGAGTGATGCTGGCCTCATAGAATGAGTTTGGAAGTATTTCCTCCTCTTCTACTTTTTTGAAAACTTTAAGGAGGATGGGTATTAGATCTTCTTCAAATGTTTGATAAAATTCAGGGTGAAGCCATCTGGTCCGAGGTTTTGTTCTTAGGTAGTTTTTTGATTACCAGTTCAATTTCACTGCTGGTAATTGGTCTGTTCAGATTTTCTGTTTCTTTCTGGGTCAGTCTTGGAAGGTTGTATTTTTCTAGAAAGTTGTCTATTTCTTCAACATTATCCAGTTTGTTAGCATATAATTTTTCATAGTATTCTCTAATAATTCTTTGTATTTCTGTGGTGCCTTAGTGATTATTGTTTCTCATTTCTGATTCTGTTTATGTGTGTACACTCTCTTTTTTTCTTGATAAGTCTGACTAGGGGTTTATCTATTTTATTTTCTTGAAGAACCAGCTCATGGTTTCATTGACTTTTTTTCTATTGTTTTATTCTTCTAAATTTTATTATTTCTTCTCTGATCTTATAATGTCCCTCCTTCTATTGACTTTGGACTTCATTTGTTCTTTTTTCTCTAGTTTCATTAATTGTGAATTTAGACTGTTCATTTGGGATAGTTCTTCTTTCTTGGGGTAAGCCTGTTTTGCAATATACTTAGAACCTCTTAGAACTGCCTTCACTGGATCCCACAGGGTTTGGGGTGTTGAGTTGTTATTTTCATTTATCTCCATATATTTCTTGATCTGTTTTAATTTGGTCATTGATCCATTGATTATTTAGAAGCATGTTGTTAAGCCTCCATGTGTTTGTGGGCTTTTTTGTTTTCTTTCCATAATTTATTTCTAGTTTCACACCTTTGTGGTCTGAGAAGCTGGTTGGTGCAATTTCAATCTTTTTGAAATTACTGAGGCTATTTTTGTGGCCTAGTATGTGATCTATTCTGGAAAATGTTCCATGTACACTTGATAAGAATGTGTATCCTGCTGCTTTTGGGTAGAGTGTTTTGTAGATGTCTTTTAGGTCCATCTGTTCTAATGTGTTGTTCAGTGCCTCTGTCTCCTTGCTTATTTTCTATCTGGTTAATCTGTCTTTTGGTGTGAGTGGTGTGTTGAAGTCTCCTAAAATGAATGCTTTGCATTGTATTTCCCCTTTTAATTCTGTATTTTTTTCACATATTTAGGTGGTCCTATATTGGGCACATAGATATACTTAAAATGATTACATCCTCTTGTTGGACTGACCATTTTATCATTATATAATGTCCTTCTTTGTCTCTTACTTTCTTTGTTTTGAAGTCTATTTTGTCTGATATAAATACTGCTACTCCTACTTTTTATCCCTATTATTTGCATAAAACATCTTTTTCTATCCCTTCACTTTTAGTCTGTGTGTGTCTTTGGGTTTGAAGTGAGTCTCTTTCAGGCAGCATATAGATGGGTCTTGTTTCTTCATCCATTCTCTAACTCTATGTCTTTTGATTGGTGTATTCAGTCCATTTACATTTAAAGTAATTATCAACAGATATATAGTTATTGCCATTGGTGACTTTAGATTTGTAGTTGCCAAAGGCTCAATGGCAGCTTCCTTACTATCTAGCAGTCTATTTTTAGAAGAGTGAGCTGTTTTGATGGGACAGGGATAGAAAATTAACTTGGATGTTTCTTCCCTCTCTATAGCACAATTTCAGTTTCCCATGCTGAGAGCCCTTGGCCATCCAGACTTCTAGGACTGACCCAGCTTCTACTTGGAAAACATTCCTAGGAGCCCATGCAGTAGGCAGGCAGGGCTTTGGGCTCCCAGGGCTATGTGTGGTCCTGTAGGGCAGCACAACCTGTGGGCAAGTCTGCCTGATGCTGTACCAAGCAGGGGACCAGCTGGGGTCCACTCATTTTGCACAGCTAGAAGGCCCTGGGCAGCTTTACATTTGTTAGTGTGATGATCTGATTAACATCTGTCTCTTCACACTCCTCCACTCTCTGTGACCCCACATTGCAGGTGTGAGGGCACAGGACTGCCAAGGTATTTGTGTTCACTGTCCTATCCCCAGTACCTAGTGTAGTGCATGGCACACAGGAGGTACTCAATAAATAATGCTTGTGTGAGGACTAGCTTAGATCTCTAAACAGTCATTCTAAATCAGGTATGTGTTTCAAAAGTGCCCTGACAAATTCTGACTTTAGTAGAGGTAAGTCTGCGTGGGGCTCTGGCATCTGCATTTTATAACTCCAAGAGGGATCCTACCAGTCACCTCCAATTAGGGCTGGCAGATTTAGCAAATAAAAATACAGGACATCCAGTTAGATTTGAATCTCTGCTAAACAATGAATTTTTTTTTAGTATAAGTCTGTCCAATGAAATTTTAGTATTTTATCTGGCAACTCTACCTCCAGTTGAAAGCCACTGGGTTGGGCCATACAGAAAAAAAAGGCTTAAAGGTTCTTGCTTTATTCACTTAAGAGTATGCATGATATCAGAGATCTGTGGTGTGTGGGAGAAAGGGCCTGAGTTTCATTTGGGCAAGTGAAGGGATTACCTTAAAGACATCCTTACTATGAGTCAAAAGGTTCTCAGCAGAAATTGTAGGCACTGACCCCATTCTTAATGGCAACTAAAAGTTTAAGAAAGTGCAAGGAGGAAAATTTGGAATGAGACAATTTTCCTACCCTTGTTTAAAAACTTATGGGCTTCTAGCTAAGATTCCATCATGACTGAGACAGCAAAGCTAGAAAGTCAATGAAAATAATCAAAAAGATTATAGACACCAAGAAGTTTAGAACCGCCCTGCCTGGGGAGATGTGTTTACCCTGTGTGATGATTAGGATCATATAAATTAAGAAGAATAAAAGGAAAGGTGAATGTGAGCCAGTTTACCAACTCACAGATGCCAGCATCCAACAGTGAACAGCGCTCCATCAGGCCTCCCCTTTGCTCCTGGATCACTCTCCACTCATCACGAAGAGGAATCATGTGAAAACACAAATCTGCTCCTGCCACTCTTCCCTTCCTTCTCCCCTCTCCTCAACACTCTGTGTGCCTCTGTCAGAACACAAACCCCAGTGGTGAGGGGCTATTTCCCTGATCATCTGTCCCACTGGAAGGGAGGGGCTAGTTTTTGTTTCTTCAACTCCAGCACTGCCAGTGCTTAGCAGCATGCCCGACCAAAACGAAGTGTGTAGAAAGCATTTGTTCAGTGAATGACTGAACTGGAAAATCAGAAGCTGTATGCAGTGGATCTTGAAGTCCTCGAAGCTTTATGGTTGAATGAGTCTGATGTAAGGTTTGGGAAGGAGAGGAATTGATGCTACAATCTTTAGGGAAACAGAACAGGAGGGACTTCCACCCAGGTATAGGGGACCCCGTTAGTCTGAGAGGATGTATCGAGCATTGGTTAAGACTCTGCCTTGGGTCAGAGTTGGTGAATGTTCAAGTGGAAAAAGATCATAGTTTAGGAAATTCCAAACTTTTTCATTTAACCAAATTAATTATTCAATTTTTAAAAAAGTTAGATTGTATGCAATACTTCAACAAACTAAAAGGATAAAAATGGCAGTGCTGAGATTGAAGGGGGAAGGTAGGGATGAAGGACTATTTGTTTGGTTTCTTCTTGCTGCCCAATGCCCCAACAAAGGTCATGAAATCCCCCTCACCTCATCTTCATTGTACAGACTTGGAGTTGGGGCCAGAAGTGTTAAATGCCCTGTCCAAGGTAGCCCAGTAGGTCTGAGAGAACAGCCAAGGTGTTCCCCTGCCCCCACCCCAGTGCCTCTGGGAGACCTGGAGGTCAGAGAGGAAAGCTGACCCAGAAGCAGGGAGCACTTCCCTCTCTGCTCTGAACAGTAGACACATGAGGATCTTAATGTTGCCAGTGCATCATCCTTACCCCTTCCCTCAAGTAAAGAAAGTAATATTTTACAAAGCAAATCTGATAGGACTTAAAGGAAAATTCCAAATCTCAACCTTTGTACAATGGGCACAAGACTGAATAAGTAGGTATGTTAATTAAATCAATTAAATTGAGACTTAAGGGAACCCTATAGCAAAGTATTTTGAGTGCAAATATTCATTCCTTGATATTCAGATTTCTATATGCTGGGGTTCCCCAAGGCAGGGAGCACCAGTCCCCTCACCTGTTCCTGAAGACGGGGGAGTAATGGACCCTGGGCTGTCATCTTCAGGCTCTGAGACAGTGACTGTGGGGACTGTGTCAGGACTTGGTTTCAGACAGACATCTTGCTTTTCAGGGGTCTTTTCCTGGGTAGCAGTTTCAACAGAAGGCTCGACCTCAGTCAGCGTGATTTTGACAGGGGCAGCGATCAGAGGAGCACTGTGCTGTTCTTCAGAGAGATCATCTATGTAAGGTGCAAATGTTGACTCTTCAAATAAGTGGTCCTTGAGGATTTTTCCCTCCACAGGAATTGGTTTCTCTGGTTCACAGACCTCTTTCGGTTTTGTTGAGATTTCAGAGTCTTTATTCTTAAAGTCCGAGTCCTTCTCTTCCAACTTGGGATGATGTTTTTCCTGATATTTCACCTCCTCTGGCCTAGTTATGTCAATGTATTTACAGGCTTCTGCTTTCATCTGGTCCAGGGGGTCTGCTAAGATCTTGTTCACTTCAGTGGACTCTGCAGGAGTCATCTCAATTCCAGAATCAGAACTGAATAAGCCATGAAGCTCTGTCCCAGGCACATCTGGTAAGGAGGGTCCAGGGGTACTCAACTCCTCAGGGCTCTCAGAAGTGGTGGCCTGGCCATTTTCCTTCTGAAGAATTCCAGTGAAATATGTAGACTCCTCCTTAGGTGGGTAACAGGTGTCGGAAATAAGAGACGTGTAACACGATCCTTCCCCATCTTTTGATGCTGTTGAAAAGGTGACCTCAGCCGCACCTACAGATCAAAACAGCATCAGACAGTGAGAGGGTGCCCGGCTGCAGTTCTCTCCCCTGCCTGCCCCACCCCGCCCCGTGCAGACACAGCATCCTTTCTCCTCAAGACCTCAGGTTTCCCTTGAGCACACTCAAGTTCACTTGCCTTATGCCCCTGACAGCCCACAGCACTGTGTTTTCCTGGCGGCAGACTGCAGAGGTCCACATAGTCTACCACACCCAGAAAAGTTGAGGAGAGATCCCAGAGGACTAAAAAGTTGATTTTCAACATCTACTACCTCAATATATAGTGACTTGTCTTACTTCATATTATTCAACAGAAGCTCTCTTTGCATCTGAAGTATTAGTGACTCTAAGTAGATGTAGAAATATAGGCTAATTCAGGTGTGTAAATGCAACCACAAGAGAGCTGACTGGGGAGAGGGGCTGGTTCTGGAGTCTCAGATTGCTAGGAGAGGCCTCAAGAGACCCCCTAAGTCATCCCTTTCAGTCAGGGGCACCTACTCTACCTGGATGGATGCCATCCCTTCTCTTTTTAAAGGTCCTCAGAGAAAAGGACTCTCAGTTTTCTAATGGCCTCATCTGAAAGTGGTTTTCACCTTGATGGAGCGCTTCCCTATTTCTTCAGTTTTCCAGTTCTGTTTCCCCCCTCACTCACCCATCTACTGGGCGTGATTTGCCTTCCAATGACATTCAAAATGACCCACAAGGAATTCTTAGTGTGGTGCCAAGGGGAAAACAAGTTTCTAAGTTTGAATTTATAGAATGTTTTCACCTGACATTCATTCTACTCATAAACCAGCCAAAAAAATTCATTAATGGCAAGAAGAAGAGGGAAACCCTTCATTATTTCTCTTAGGTGTAAAAATGCTGCCAGAAGAGAAGAAAACTAATATTTATTGAGGCCTTATTATATGCAAAGCAGTGGGATTTTACTTAATTCTTACAACTATTTTATAAATGAAGCCCCACACTACTCTCAACACATCTCTCTCTCTCTCTCTCACACACACACACTCAGTTTTGAAGACACACTCAAAGAATATTCCAGATTAGGCACCAACTCATAAAAGTAATATAAGTAGTAGCAGTGATATAACAATTTCAATAGCTAATATTTGAGTGCTTGCTATGTATCATGTTTCAAGCTTTTAATTAATATTGACTCATTTAATTATCAAAGTCATCCTAGAAGACCAGTACAATTATTAGCCTCATTTTAAGAAGAGGAAATCAAGGAACAAAGGAGTTAAATAATTCACCTAATTTCACAGGCAGTAAGTGGTGAAGCTAGGACTCAACATCGAGTGGTCCAGAAGTCCGGAATTCTCCCCTAATGCCCTTTGTATCTCCTTATATCAGTTTGTGATGTTTTTTTAAAGGTAACTTTGAATTGGGTTTATTACAAATAAACAACTTTAGCCTTTTCCTAGCTTTCTACTGGGTTGCATGAGTCACTGATGGACTAAGTGGAATAGACAAGCACAAAGTCCCTTTGCCGTTCTAGCACTCTCCCGCCTTAGCACCTTTGCATGAGCTGTTTTCCTTTCTTGGAACTCTCTTCCCCAAGATACCTATCCCCTCACTGCAAAGTCTTTGCTCAAATGCCACCTGCCTAAGGAAGAGGACCCTGACAACTTTATCGCAAACTGCAAACTGCCTTGCTCTCCATACTCCCTGGCAATCTGGTTCCCACCTACCCTTCTCTACTTTTTCTTCTTCCTCTAACACTTGTCTTGCCAATGGGTTTCAGCCACAGGCAAGTTCACTATGGATTCAATGAGACCAAAAAATGACAATGGAACATTCTTGGGGTTAAAGGGTTATACTCAATTTTATTCCCATGGTGGCAGGTCAATCACGAGAATCCTGTCCACTCAGAGCGAGTCTGCATGCAGCAAGCCGGGCTCTGCCTCTGGGCCTCTCTGCCCACACAGCCATCTCAGTCTCTGTCCTGGGTGCTGCCACCACTCCAGTCTCTGCTCTCCTGCAGCCTTGTAGCTGTGCCACCATGTCGCCAGGAGCACTGGGCAGAGCTCTTTATTTAGAGTCAATAGCAACATACTGCCAACACGTGTGTAGTGAGCAAGACAACCAGGGCCAGGTGAGAATCCTGGCGTTAAGAACCTTCACTTTATCCACACTCCACCCTCCAGAATTCTTGCCTCTCAATCTATGTGCCCTCAATCCTTTACAATGGTCCCTGTGCAAGGAAGCTGGAATATTGTAACCAAATTCCATAATAACATAATACAATATACAAATAACAAACATTACAACAAAGTATAATAACCCTCAGGCCTGAGGAGATCCATTGACACCAAGTGGTCATCCTGGCTGTATTCAAACCAGTTCTACTCAATTGAGTTAACCAAAAGGACCAAAGGTGGGCCTTATAATATCCACCTTCTCCAGCCTCTCCAGCAGAAAGTCTTGCAGACACACAGGCTGATCTTGTTGCTTTGCTTCTGCTTCTTCATCCTCAGTAGCTGGAACCACTGCTCTGGTTTCAGTTGTTGCCATAGCTCCAGTAAGAGTGTATTTGACTTTCCATCCAATTTCTTTCTGTCTTCTCCTGCCTTTATCAAATCAACCCACATCTGGGTCCTCATGACCTTCCCGGGGCCTTTTAAATTCTTCCTTGGATTAGTATTTCCTTTTTGCTTTCACTGCTTGAGCCTGAGGATAGGAACAGAGCATAGAGGACTCCACGACCTGGGGAGGGGGCTGCATCTCTCCTGGAGGAACCTACGGTTCCCAAGTCTTTATTTTCTCTTGGGCTTTCCACCAGCTTTCAACCAGGTGGGGTTTCAACCAAGGAAGGACTGATGCCTCCTGTACCAGCAGGGCCTCCACTCCCACCTGTTAGTTAAACCTCTGCTCCTCCATTTCTGGGGCTGACGGCTCCACTACATCCTTCACCTGCCCACAGCACCAGGCAGCCTGCACTCTCATGCTGCTGCTCCTTCTCATGCTGCTTCCTCTCAGGCTACCACGACACCCTTTACCATTTCCACAGCTCCTCAGAGTGATGTGATTTCAGTCACCAACAAATTTTTTAACCTCCTCAATGGCACCTCGCAGCTCACATTCTCATGCTGCCTCTTCTCGTGCTTCCTGCAGGAGGGCATCTTTCTCCCTTACGACCTTTCTCAGTATTGTGAGAGGAAAACTCCCCACCATTCCTGCAGCCTCATGGGCACTGTTTCTCTAAGGAATTCCCTATTTTGCTGAGAGCCAACTTTACTGCCTCAGGTGTTGCCTCCACCCCTTTCCAGTCTTGGGGTGAGGCCCAGTCCTCTAGGAGGCAAGCTACATCGGACTGCATGTCCACTGGGGGATACTCGAATGTCTCCCCATCCACAGGTGCAGCCCATGGAAACATTCCTCCCAGCCTGCTCTTTTCCTTGGTCAACAATGAATCCTGCCGACGTTGCCAATTATCTTGCCAATGGGTCTCAGCCATAGGAAAGTTCACTGTGGATTCAATGAGACCAAAAAATGACAACGCAACATTCTTGGGGTTAAAGGGTTATACTCAATTTTATTCCCATGGTGGCAGGTCAATCATGAGAATCCTGTCCACTCAGAGCAAGTCTGCATGCAGCAAGCCGGGCTCTGCCTCTGGGCCTCTCTGCCCACACAGCCATCTCAGTCTCTGTCCTGGGTGCTGTCACCACTCCAGTCTCTGCTCTCCTGCAGCCTTGTAGCTGTGCCACCATGTTGCCCAGAGCACTAGGCAGAGCTCTTTATATAGAGTCAATAACAACATAATTGACCACACATGTGCAGTGAGCTAGCTGACCAGGGACACATGAGAGTCCCAGTCATAGGAACCTTCTCTTTATCCACACTTGTTTCCTTCTAATATACCATGTAATTAACTTATTAATTACCCATTTATTGGTTATCTCCCATTGCTGCCATGATGGCAGGAATCTGACAATTTTGTTCACTAATGTAGCCCAACACTTACAACAGGGCCTGGCACACAGTGAGCACTCAATAAATATTTGCAAAATAAGGGAAGGCCACTATTAAATTTAGAATAAGGCAGAAATAACAGGATTTTGTGAGAAAACAGGCTGGAAGATTCCCCCACATTGCTAATATTACTTCCTTCATTTAGCAAGTGGCCTAATTTTAACAGACCAGTTCAAATATGTACATTTCAGCAAAGCTTCTGGTTGTACTTCCTTTGCATATGTAATTCCTTTTCAAGTTTGACAAAAAGGAAAAAAAGCTCAATAACAAAAGAGTAATAGTAATGAAGGGCCCCATTACTTAAGCTTACATAGACCACCAAAGGAAAAGCTATTACATTTAAATCCAGGTCTGCACAAGTACACTTACCCTGAAGAATTTCAAAGTTTCTTTCCTTACATGGGCTCAGCCTGCACATAGACCTCACTGGAAGCAGGGAAACCAGTCCTGAGATATTTCACTACCTGCCCGTGGATATAGATCATCAGGAGGTGTGAGGAGTAGGGGAGGGGATGCTCTCCTGGAGAAGGCACAGTGCGTGGTCTCCAGGGCTGAGTCACAGTGATTACCATTCAACACTTACTTGAGCTTCCATTGCAGGGGCCACCAGAGTGCTTCTGCCCCTTACCACCTATTCCAAGGATGTTGCATAGCCCTCCAGCCCCATCTTCTTCCACCAGTTATCATACTAAATATAACTGCCAAGTGCTCAGCAATTGGCCCCAGGGATCTGCCCTACCTCACCGGATAACCCTGAAGTTCTGCAGCCTAGCATTTGAGATGATGTGAATGCCACCTGGTCTCATAGCTCTGTCTGCAGTGCCCCTCTCACCTACCCTTCACTCAGGCATGCAAAGGCCCTCACAATCTCACACTCACTCCACCAGCTTTTCTAGACCTGTCTTCTGCTCTCCAATTCAAACTGTGAGTTCTGGTTAATATAAATTACCCATCACCTCTCCAACACCTTATCTCTTCAATCTCCCTATCCGAATCTGTCCTTCTCACCTCAAGCCA